AACCACAATTTCAGAAAAATGCTGAGACAGGAAGACACATGAGGGCATGACTTGTACTCACACTTATGACAGTATGTGAATGAATGAAGGTCAGAATAGGGAGTGACAGATAAGGAATCATCAGAATGGCCCATAGAGTGCAAGAACAGTTATCATAACTCCTATCTGACTGAGGGCTCAGAGTACAGCAAGCTTTTTTGAAACAAACACTCCAGGGGCAGCTAGATGGTACAGTGGATAGAGCACCTGCCCTGGAGTCAAGAGGACCTGAGTTCAAATCTGGCCTTACACATGTAACACTTACTAGCTGTGTGACCCTGGGCAAGTCACTTAACCCCGACTGCCTCACCAAAAAGCAAAAAAAAAAAAAAGAAACGAACACTTCAAGCTTGTGTTTTGGAGATGTACCACGGAAAGCAAAGCTTTAGCTGTCCATGAAATTTTGTCAGGAGTTTGCAGCAACAGAAAAGCCCAGAATAGATAAGCAGGTGATAGAACTTTTACTCTTCCCAATACCCTGCAATAACACCTCAACTTGGGGGTTCAGAAATTTCTCTGCATTTGCTACCCTGGAGATTATGTGGCGGTGGTTCCCCAGGGATGGCAGGACAATGACAGGTCACATGAACCCTGGCCTATCTAATAACTTTAAAACAACACTGTATGATTACCAACCTAGTCTTTCTTCTCTCACCTTCTTGCTGCTGCTTTTGAGAGTAGGACTAGATCGAGACCTTACACAAGCAACTTTGACAAAGTTTATTATTTAGGAGCAGTGTGGTGTAGCATAAATAGCATTGGATTTAAGGTGAGAAGATTTGGTTTGGAAGCCCAGGTCTATTTACTAGCTGGGTGGAGACCCAGGCAAGTCACTTCAAGTCTTTGGGTGTGTTTCTTCACCAAAAATGAAGTTGAACAAGATAATCATTAAGATTCCCTCAGTTTCTGAACTCTGGCTTATAACTCTTTCAAGTATCAAGTTGATCTATTTTCAGTTATTTCTGAAATTTGTCTTTGACTGGGACTTCCTGAGCAAGGTAGCCCTTTTCCTCAGCTCAAACATTCTGGTAGATTCTAGTGTGCCTCACTTCATTATTTTTATTACCTCTATTATCTCCTGCTCAAACCTGTAAATGTGTGTGCTCACCTAATTGCAAGGTCAAATGGAGTGAAATTGTAATTGAAAGCTCCTGACCTACACTCATGCTGTTAACCCACTCCCCGTGGTAACACTCCCCACCCTCTATCCCCAACCTGTTGATAAAACCTGTGATTTTGAAAGGATTTGATACCCTATAGTCATTTTCTCAGGAGATTGAGTTCACAAAGCCTTCTGCTTTTGTGAATCAAGGCCCCAAAGTAGGTTGATCCAAGCTCCTCACTATCTGGGCTTGGCCTTTTAACTGTGAGCCAATCAGAAAAGAATTTTAGATTGTTAAAGCTCTAAGAGACCTTAGATACCTTTTAGCTAGACCACATCACCCCCAGCCCTCCCTAGGGGTCTCTGGATAAATTTCAGGGGGGTTATTTTCACTAACTTCTAGCTGAGATGTAGCACTTCTTTTGATTATTAACATAGGCAACAAGCATTCTAAGAAGGGGTCCATTGGCTTCAGACTGACAAAGGGGTACATGCCACAAAAAAATTAAGAATAGTAGTCTATTCTAACTCCCTCATTTTACAGATGAAGAAACTGAGGTTCTGAGAAGTGATTTGCACACAGGTACTAAACAGAAACAGGATTTAAACCCAAGTCTTCTTAACTCCAATTCCAGGACTATCTAGAAATCTGAGATAGACCCATTCCCCATTTTTATGGTTTATTGCACTGCCAGATTTTGCTTTCCACTTGACTCCTACTCCATGATTCATCACATTAAAACATGCTCCTGGGACAAATATTGGTCATTCAGCAGGGACTTTGCCCTTCTGCCTCCCTTGCTGCCCACGTGACATGGTCCCCTGCCTCACCCCCAGCTCTTCTTTACCCTCAGGCACACTTGTCTGGGGAAGACTTCACTAGGGTCTTTGGGATGTCTCCAAATGCCTTTTCTGCCCTGCCACTGTGGAAACAACAGAATCTGAAGAAGGAGAAAGGGTTGTTTTGAAGAGAGGGGTACCTACAAAGTCCCCAAGGCAGCCACCCCATCTCAGCGGCTTCGCCAAGTTTCATTTTGTTTACTGTTATTGCTATGCCAAATAAAGTAAAATTACTTCTCGAATACTGAAGAATGGAGTAATGCCCTTTCTCTTCAGTTAGTTATTACACATGAACTTCTTCCCAAAAGGATCTGCTTCAGGGAACCGGTGGTCCTATTTCCTAGCTGCCCAGAGTTAGGTTGGCCTCCCACTGCTTTTAATCTTGCCACAGGAAATAAAAGTGGCCACTCCAAACATTATTGAATTCTAAGGAGGGTCCCCTTAGGGTCTCAAAATTATGGCTTATCCCATCTCAATAGCAGGGAGGTTGAACATTTTCCAGATTTATAATTTTCAACTTTCACTTTGCTTTCCTCAGACCCTGGGCCAAATGCAATCTTGGTGTACTGTCTCCACTCTGTTCTGGGGCAAATCCCATTTTAACCAAGTCTCAATGAGTACTTCAGACTAAAACAAATCTAGCCCCATTGGTCCACAACCTAGACTCTCTGAAGGCAGTAAAGAGGGTGTGACAATGCCTAAATTTGTTGTGGGCTTTGTGGCAGAGAGACCACAAAATCTTTCTTCTGTATTCAGTTCACTGTCTGGAATCCAGAGCCCTATAAAGGTTATAAGAGTACAAATATCACTTTCTCTCCAATAGTATTTCAATTGAGTGAAACAAAGGAAGAGATTGACCCTATACTAACAAGGGGTTCAAATAGAGCCCAGTCATATAAGATAAACTTTTCAACAGTATAAAACTAAGAATGTAAGATCTCTGAAAGCAGGAGCTATTTTTTCTTTCGCTTTATTCCTAGTGCCCAATACAGCAAAAACCTGGCAAGCCCAGTTGTACAATACTTGTTGTATTGAATTGAAGCTCAGGGGTCCAAAACGACAGTTATTTGCCCCTTCTTTTCTTCCAAGACACACATTCCAGGTGACCTCTTGAGAAGACCAAAAAAAATTTGGTCTCCACAGATGTGCCAGTTTCTAAACGTGTCTGACAGAAATGTCACCCTTTTCAGAAATAAAAGTCAAACCAATAGAGGGGTTAAAGAGGTTTTAATTTCACAAAAAAAAATCTATATATCATTTAAAAAGGGGAAAAAACAAGGAAAAACTCTCAGATACAAAGGAACAGTTCTGCTAAAACACAGATAAAGTGCCGTTCCATATAAACAGTGTAAAGAATCAGAATCAAAAAATCACTCACAACGCGAAAAACTATCCTACTAGTAATGTGGCCAAAGCGGCTGGCAAACCTGGTGGTGGATCAACCAGGCATGGCAGAGAAACCCTATTTTTTTTTTATACAATAAATTAACATTGTCAGGAGGCAGTGAAACTGGTCAAGCAGGGAAATATGGGAGTACAAAAAAGGAGAGAAGGAAAAATTGAAGAACAAGAAGATCAAGGCAGACTTTAGTAACTGTCAATTTGCATTCTCACTCTTTGGATAGAAACACTGTGAACTTGTTAACCCAGAACAATTTCATCTATCTTACTCTTTTGGGCATCCTGCAAACTTAGTTCTGACTTCTCCCTACCCATCCTAACCGTTCTCACTGTACCAAGCAAAGAAGATATATCTGCACTTCTATTTCGTGCACCTTGGTATGAGTCCAATGGCAAAAGGTTAACGGCTTCACGTATTAGCTGTGGCACAGCTCTTACGTTTTAAAAACACTTTCAGACACACAGTATATTTTTCATGTACACTTATCTAGTTGTGGGGAAAAAATACATATATGAACATGGGGAGATGGGTTACTCAAGGATAATCTATGGAAATTAGTGGTCATGTAAGACAAAATAAATTGTTTCTCTTAGTTACAGATTTTCCAAGGCTTGAAGTAGTTTTGTTTGTTTAATGTATTGGATGGTGGCATTTTTTAAAACCTATATGACACACACACACATATACATATATATATATTATATACACACACACACTTTGAAATAATTTCAGTTTCACTGATAAACATGTCCACATGAAGGTTATTATTTAAATGAAACAGGAAAAGAGTAAAAGTGATGTAAATTAATGCTCTTCAGGACAGGTATTTCAAGGGGACACAGGTGAGGAAAAGACAAAGAAGGGTAATAGCTTCATTTATTTAAACATAGCCTATTTGGACTAAATCTCTTATGGGGGAGGTGAGTAAAGTTTACCCGATATATTCTTTCTACCTTTAAAAACGAAAACCAAAAAAAACTCCTCCCCACCCAAACATGCATGGCACACCCAGCAACTGAGTGTATGAGATTGTCAATTTTTCTTTCACAAACACGCATTTCTAGACAGCCTACATTATACATCTATGTATAGCTATATTTGTATATAGCTGTATGTCAATAGCTATATAATGCTACCAGCAGCCTGGGGGGTGGGGGAACTACAGTAAGTAAAATTGCCAATTATCCCTCTACCATGCTTTAATTATTAAAGCTTTTTTTTTTTTTTAAAGAAACCTTTGATCAAAGGTATTGGTAAATGAACATGGCTAGGGTTTGCTTTCTGGACTAATATACGAAATGTGTACATTTTGTGCGATACTTATGATATCTGAATAGTTTTTATTAGTGGTCATTACCGGACTTGTAATTAAGGCAGAACCTTTTCAGGAAACAAAGAGTTTCAAAATCTAAGTAAAATAGAAGGAAAAACGTGTGGAATTGTTAGTTATACTGCCCTGTTGGGACACAGACACACCCACATCCACACACACCCACATACCCCCACACATACACAGAAAACAGTCTACCTTCTAGAAGGCTGAAATTCTATTCACAGCTGCTGTAACAATGATGATGTTTGGATCTATAAAATTCTCCAACACCTCAAAACACTAGGTGATAACGAACCAATACAGATTTTATTTGGTTTGGTTTTCCTTTAAAAAAAAATTTCCAAACACATCATACTGGTTGTGTGCAGAACTAAGTGCTGCTAAGTTCCAATGCTATATATAACTGATGGCCACAAAATGCTTAAGATTTGCAGTAGAAATCTGTTTTTCTACAGAATAACAGGACCCCTTCTCCCTCCACTCATCACATGCTCACACTATGATTATGAACTGGCCGTGCTGTGCAAATAATAAAATATATATTATATATATATACACACCTATATATATAACTTTTCAAATCTATAAAGCCACTTCAACCAGGAATAATCCCTCCCCTGCTACCATCTCTATCAACACAATCAAGATGAAATTCCAGGAACTCCACATTGACCTAGAATGAGAAGGGACTCTGTGTTGGGAGGGTGAAACAAGGAAAGAATTGATGAAGCCACTTAAATGGACATATCCGCGAGAACTGAAGCTCCAACAGCAGTAAAACAGCCCTTCTGACCTGGTGACCTATTCTTAATATGAAAGCTAGAGCCCCAACATACTAAGAGTGAGGAAGAAGACCCCATTAAATCATGCTTCCAATGACATTAACTCAATTTGGGCTAACTTTTCAGGAGCCCATCTACAGAGCTTCCTTCTGTTCTCACCTTCCCGACTGACTGACCCCAAATGTAACTGCTCCCTTCTGAATTGTCTTCAAAGTCATTCACCTTTACTTTTAATGTTGCCCTCAAGTAAGAAGACTGGGGATGGGGAAGGAGAGTGGAGGAAAGCTATAATCAGTTAACTCATTTATTCTATGACTTTTTTTTTACTTTTTTTTAAAAAAGATTTATGATTTTTTTTTAAAAAGGATTTTCTTTTTGGAAATGTTGCAAAACAAAACCTGTATTAAAATAAGCTTTTCCCTTAGATTTCTCTTGCCAATGATACAAACTTGATAATTTATGATACAGTAGTGCATGTGGTATAGGGAAGGGGTCAAAAGCATTTCCCGTTTGTGGTTAAGTCACAATACAAAACAACCCATGTAAGAAGAGGCTACGCTTACAGAACAGATTACAGAACAAAGTTGTGCCTGCAATGCTGGAGGCTCTTCAAAGGAAAAGACAGCCAGCCTTCCAACACCAATAATTTGGTTTATGTTTATGAACAGTGGTTTAAAAAAAATTCATGGTTCTCCCCTGCCTGGCTCCCCCTCTCAAGAGACTTATGATAACCAGCCCTGACACCAATATGAGAAAGTAGTTTAAAAAAACAAAAAGAACTCTCTATGTTTGATAAAATAATAAAACTGTAGTTCCGGCCCAAATTCAGAGTCCATAGTTCTTAACACATTTCTTTGTAATAAAGGAATGAGATGCTTCATGGGAACCTAATGATGAAGCTAAGCTCTCAAAATTAGTTTTTACAGAATTTTACCTACAATAAATTCATCCTTCATATGGTTTCCCAAGCTGCTTAACCAATCTGTTTTATGTCATTTGAGCAATTACTGAAATGTATTAGTTTTTCAACCATATTTATTCTCACCTTAAGCACATAACAAATAAGGTCAATTCACTGAATTTCTTTACAGTTCTTGGGATTCACCCAAATCATCCTCACTTTAGATTAATTCATTCTGCTTAGGAATGCATCCAGAGAGGACATGGTTTTAAATGTTTAAGCCCTGACCTACAGCTCCCAATGCACACTCAGTTTTACATTTGGGGTAGGGTGAGTGGTCCAGGGTAAAGAATCACTTTTTGATATCTGGGAACCTTTCAAAGAACATCTGTCAATGGGTCCCATTTGGGATAACATTTTTGCCCAACTTTTATATATTGCTTTGGCTAACTCCAGAAGCAGCCTGCAACAGTTGGTGTCTATTCTCAAACGGGCACAACACTGGAATAAATGAAAAAAAGTCAGTAACAAGAACAGATGCTGACTGAATAAAGGAATACACTGTGTGAATTAAAACCTTTTTTTTTTTTAAACACACAAGGCATACAATGAGCAAAAACTGTGAAGGATGATGAAAATGTTACAACACATTCCTCAGCACCAACATTTCATTTCCTAGAACTGTATGTAAACTGTAGAGGAGTTACAAACCTATGAAATGATAATTAAATAACCAAAACATGCCTCATCTCAAATGACAGAAACATTCCCCTTAGCTGGAAGAACTATCACTAGTGTTTGTGGAGAGCTGGGGTTCCAGTGAACTTTACTAATGAAATGTACACTCAAAGTTATAAACTATTGCTCAAATTGCTCTTGAAGGACATGAAAATACACAAATGGCAAGTGATACAGGTGGTTTCTTCACCCGTTTCCCAGTTGAATGAACTTGAAAATCCCCCTGTCACTTTTTTCCATTTCTTCTCCACACCAACTGTGCTACGAATTTCGAGCAAACAAAGTCTTCGTGGCTCATTCCAACTCTTTAAGGCTCCATTCTGTCCAATATATACAAACACAAATGTACAAACAAGCGTACATGTCAGAGTGTGAGTGTGTATAGGTATGTGAGTGTGAGAGTGTGTGTGTGTGTGTGTGTGTGTGTATGTATGGGTGTGTGTTTCAGTTTTTAGAACTACAGAAAGCTCCACTCTGTTCTTGGAGAGAAGGCTGATCAGCTACAGGTGTAAGGTTCAAGGATTTCCATGCATGGAGAACTTCTCTGGCTTGAAGGGTTCTAGGTTTTGGTTTGGCCCTGAGCTGTTTGTTACTCCTGTGACGTTCCAAGTTCTGAATTCTCAGGTGGAAAGAACATGAAAATGAGAGAAACTGCCGTGTGCACGCACAGACGCCTGCCTGCCCAGGAGTGGGCTCCTCACAGTGCCGGCCGGGTGGGCCGACCAGCCTCCACGCTAAGCAACTGGGAGGCCTTTTCTGTTTCCAGCAGCTCATCAAAGATATCTCTAGAAGAGGAAGGGGGAAATCAACAAAAAGAGTCACAAGCGGGTAGAGAAAATTAGATATCAAATGTAAGTGCAGAACTAACCACAAGAAGGATTAATATTTAGTGATTATTCTCTTAGAAAAAAGCAGCCTCTTCCTTCAACCTTCATCCTGAGTTGAAATAATAACCCAGGCCTCCCTAACAATTTGCTATTAGTACCTGAAAATTATCAGAGGACCTTGGCTAGAGCTATTTTAACAAAAATGATAGGTAATCTGCCATGTACACAAATTATGGATCAACTGATCTTGGAAATCATTAAATACTTTAATTCAGAGAACTTCTCTGGCACATTTAGAGTAGGTTCATAACTGGATCTCTCTTATCCCCAGTGAGGGATCATCAAGAATGGGAGGCTGGGTCCCAGGAACCCCTCCACTCTATTACTTTTTGAAGACTAACAAATGGAGTACAATGTAAGAAGAACTAACGTTACTAGTATTAGAGAAGCACAACAAAAATTATTTCAGAAATTTCAAAGTAAAAAAATAAACTAATGAAAACCCAAAGTGGCAAAAACACTTAAATATTTTTTCCTCAAATTAAAAGCTAGGCAATTTTTGGCCTGTGAGTCCTTGTCTGGCCAGATTCTTACTTGTGCATATAAAAGAAGATGTAACCACTCCGGTCTCTGTCACTCTGAACAGAGGACTCTTGGATTTTAGACACCTCCAAGTCATTGTAAGTAAACCAGGCCTGCTTCTTAATGTCGTACACATCACTAATATAATGACCTAAAACAAATAAAACAAAGTAATTATTTTCCCAATAACACTGAGCCTTCATAAAAGACAGGGGATGGATCTGTGATTTCACTGGTATAGGGAGCTCTTGGTAAGGAACTCCCTCTAGCAAAACAGACTGACATTCTCTGCAACCTAGAGTCTTGGGGAGTTGTACAGAGCACTAAGACTTAACCAGAATTCCAAGTCAGGATGTGTCAGAAGTGGGACTTGAACATAGGTCTTCAAAACCATCCTTCTATACACACTGCTTTGCACAGTTTAAAAAAAATCAAAATAAATCTTTATAGCATCTTATTTTTAAAAGATCCTGAAAAAGTATAAACACTAAAAATTTCTGTAAATTTCAATGAATTTGTGATCTCCTTTTATTGGTACTCTCTTTATTGATGCAGTCTGCAATCTAACCATCATTCCCCATCCTAAGTGATTCTAGTCCATGAGTTCCATAAATCTTCCAGAGGGTCTACTTGATATTCAAGAGGATTTCATTTGCATATTTAATTATTTTGTGTATATCAATGCACCAATGTTCACTGAGTCTCAGGCGATATAATGTTTGATGGATAAATGGTTGAGCAATCCTACAATTTCTAAATTCTGTATCAATTATAGTTAAACTGACCTCATCTCTCTCTCTCTCCCTCCCTCTCCACACACCCACACACACCCCTCTCTCTATAAATACTTTAGAGAAGCATAGACTATCAGAGCTGAATAGCTAACTTAGTCATACCTAGAAAGGACCAAGAATCCTTTCTTCACACATCCCTAACAAATGGTCATTCAACCTTTGCCTGTAGACTTTCAGTGAGGCAGAAATCCATTACTTCCCGAGACAAGCTCACTGTGCTTTTTGATCTCTCTAATGGTTAGGAAGGTTTTTTCCTTTCATCAAGCCTAAATCTGCCTCTCCATCACTAGTACCCATTGATCCTACTACTGAATAAGCCTAATTCCTCATCCACACAAGGCCTCTTCAAATACTTGAAGACAACTACATGGTCCCCTAAGTCTTCTTTTCTCCAGGCCAAATTACTGACCGATGAATATTATGTTCTATAAATGTTCCCCTGACCACAGCACTCTAGTTGTGGGGTCTGACTGTGGCAGAAGAAAGCAGAATTTTTATCAGCCTCATTTTGGACCTAGGGCCTCTCAATGTACCCTGAAACAGCTTTTTAAGCTGCCATATCATACTGCTAACTCATATTCAGGTTACATTGTGCGCTGAACACCCCCACCCCCCATTTCTTGATTTTATTTCCACAGGAACTACTGTCTAGCCATGCCTTCCCAATTCTATATTGATGAAACTGATTTTTAAAAATTAAGTGGAATTGATCCTTATTAAATCTCATTCTATTCAATTCAGTCTACCATTCTAATTTGTTAGATCCTTGTTAGCTCCTAATTCTCAGTTAACAAATTATCTACTTTTCATAGGTTTGTGACATGCAAATTTGAAAAAAAAAAAAAAAAAACAGCTTCTTCATCTAAGTCATAAAAATGTGGAACAAGGCAGGGCCAAGGACACTCTCTGGAGCACAAAGTACAAGGATGACTCTCTGAGGCACTAAAAGACATCCATCTAAGCTGACAGATGCCATGAATGACTAGTCTTTGGGTTCAGTTTTCCAACCATTCTCAATTCATTTAACTGCATTATGACTAGTCTATATAACAGTAATAGCTCACATGCTTTAAGATTTTCAAAGCACTTTACATAAATCACCTCATTTCACCTTCACAAAAACCATCTCCATTTTGTCCTCAAGGAAAACATCAGAGACTTTTTCAACTTTTAGTTTGGAAATGCCCTCCTAGTCACAGAACCAGCTGACCAGAGAATCCAGACAAGTTACACTCTAAGATACATACTTCTACTGTATGAAAGCTCAAATGACCTTTTACCTGAAGATGATGTGCTTCCAATATGGCTGACAACACTGATGAGCCGATAAGAATGGGGAAGATTTCCTGTCTAAAAAAGACAAGTGAATGTGAGCTTTACCTCTGTATCTAAAATAAAATATCAAATCTAAGCTCAAACAGCAAAGCAGATATAACTGAACCATAACACCTGGTATATCTGGACTCTCCATCAACTAGAGTGAGCAATGAATGTTTTATGTACACTATGTAATCTATATATCAAGTGAATATATAATCCCAATTCAATCCAATTAACAGCTACTAAGTGCATGCCGAGTGTAAGATACTGAATCTAAGAACAACAGAATGTTTTAGTGTTAGTTAACAAATATTTATTCAGTGTCTATTGGCCTGAATCAGTATTTTGCTGGAAAAAAAAGAAAAAGGAATTTTTACAGGAATATCTGCTTTGACGATTGAAGGTAACAGTTTGTAGTCATGTATCTCAAAGTACCACATTGCTCACTTCTCACTGAGTATATACAAAAAAGGTTAAACTTTATTTTTGACTCCAGTATTTTTTTGATGAAAAAGAGGAAAAGAGGGAAAATGAAGAGAATCCTAAGTCCTCACCTCTGCATTTCTCTTCAACTCCTCTGCTTCAGCTTCTGTGTACTCCATATCAAAAACATCTTCATTCCCAGAGTCGTCATCAGAGCCCATTCCATCCAGAAAGGAACTGTTAAATTCTAAAGGGCAAAGACAAGGACCGGTAAGGGTCTTTGGCAAAGATGCCAAGAGACTCAACCAGAAAGAATGGAAGAAAGCCTGGATTCTATGTTGTGCCATCTCAAGCAAAAGTATGCTATAAAAACCATGAAGATTCCAATGCAAGCCATATCCTATTAGATATCTCACAAGTGGTAACAGAAACATTTCTCAAGCTCTTTAAGTTAGAACCATACATATCTGATGAGGGGTCCAGGGTCTAATCCTCACAAGGGAGAGAAAGAACAGAACTTTTTACCTGATGCAGCTTCTTCCAGTATCGTATGTCAACCTGCATGTCATCTTTTTTCCCCTCTAAGCTAATAGAGCATGAGAATTATAACACAATATGCACTACATTTTCTGGGATTTTGAGGTTAAGCAATTATTGGACTACTTAAGAGTTCATAATGAAAAGTGCTTTGAAAAATTAAAACTACCAACTCCTAATGACTGGGCAGACAATTAAAAACAAACAAAAAAAACCAGGCATCCTAAACTTGTGAAAACAGCACTGCTGGAAGCGGTGGAGTTAACATTAAGGGCAAGCACAGTTTACTCCCCGGTAGCATACAGCTTCTCCAGTTATCTGGATTACAAGTAATGAACACTAGATTCATCCCCTTATTCATGCTGGGATTCACAGCTTAAATAATTCCCAGAATAGATTAAATAAACATGGAGTAGATGGAGATAAATAAGAAAACAAAAACCTCCAGCTGGTCTCCACTCTAGGATGAGTAGAAAATAGGTATATGACATAGTTAAAATGTTTGCAATGTTATTAGTCTGAGCTCCACTCAGATGGACATTATTTGAACAAGGTCTAATCTGAACCAAGAATTAAGATACTGTATTTTGTATTTATTTCAATTTGTGCGGCTATCTATCTGTAATGAGACAAAAACATTTAAAAATGATCCACTGTAGATACTCATGGTGATATTAGTGGTATGAAGTAAATGTAAACCTAACTTGATCCCTAGGTGTTATTAGTGAACAGGATACCAAGAGTATATGGAATGCTAGGATCCCTTCACTTAATCTTAAACGAAATGGAATTTCTTTAAAAAGGAAGCATTTCACTAAAGAACAGCAATTCATACAAGTTTTCAAATTGATTCACAGCATACAAAACAAAATTATATTTTTAAACAATTGAAAATGAAATGACAAACCTGTCAGTGACTTTTCATGTAAGGAAAGCTATTTTATTTAAAAAACAGGTAAAAATAAATAAATCACAAACCTTGAAGACTTAACTCTGTGGCTCTTTTGAGGTCATCATCTTCTTTCTGTTCTCGGGCCTCCTAAAGGGAAGCATAAAATCTAGTTCATTTAAAAAGTTTAGAGTTTCTAATTTTTTTTTTTTTTTTTTGCATTGAAGCTGTTCTATTCTGGTTTCTACAACAAATGCGTTATTACACACTAGAAGTTCTACATGGAGGAACGCTCATTACCTTGAAAGAGTTCAATTTTCAGTAACAAAGGGACTGAAATAAAACTCAATTACAAATTCAGTATTCTAAAATTTGGAATAAGGCAAAGTCTCTAAGTTCCTTTTTCTTCTGTATTATTAATCAAAAGGGTTTCACAACCAACTTCTGCATGAACTGACAAAGACAATGTAGTTTTGTCTCTCAGAATGCCAGATGTGGTCCTAGATTCCAACATTTAACTCCAATCATTTACTTCTGGTGTTATCCAGCTGTTTCAGAAGTGTCCGATTCTCTGTGACCCCATTTGGGGTTTTCTTGTCAAATACACCAGAGTAGTTTGCCATTTCCTTCTCCAGCTCATTTTACAGATGAGGAAACTGAGGCAAACAGGGTTAAGTGACTTGCTCAGGTAGTAAGCTAGTAAGCATCTGATGCCAGATTTGCACTCTTAGAAATGAGTCTTCCTGACTCCAGGTCTGGCACTCTGTGCCATTTAAGTGCCCCAATCATTTCCTAATAGAATGCAAACTAATAATGATTTAAAGCAGACTATGTGACAGGGTAGGAAGAAGCAGTACAATCTAGCTCTCTCTCTACAACTATTCTACAAAGATCTAGAAAACACACCAGTCCAAGTCCTGATTGGGAAATCCAACGAAAAAAAATCAAGGTAAATCATTTTTTCCAGTGTAGGTCGGCATAAGGAAGACAATGAGGATGGGGGTCTAGCTGCTATGCACCAGACCTGCCGCTGGGGTTGGAGGCCCAGGGCAAGGAAATGTCACAGGTCCCAGGCCATGCAGTAAGCAAGAAGTGAAGTGTGAGGTAAGTAGCAGCTGTGGGGCTCTGACTCTGAGAGCAGAGTAGGGTCTCTGAGTCAGCGGAAGCTTACAGTGCAGTCACTCTGAACCCTCTGAGCTTCCCAGCTGGTGGACAGGGGCTGAGTCCATTAGTAGTCTGTTGGAGATTGAACCAGGGGCAAATCCACAGTGCTGATGCTCACACCCAAATCCAGGTCAGAAAGTTTGAAGAGTTCAAACCAGGAAGACAGTGCTCAGATTTCACCCTGGGGTCAATGAAAGTTTGCAGGTCCCCAGCCTGAGCTGTCCCCGAGATCTTGGAATAATACGATACTCAATACTAGAGGAGAACAGCAACAGGATCCAAAACAGCACCAAGCAGGGCACAGACATTCTCTATAGAAGTGTGCACAACCTGGCCTGAACATAGTCCAAAGTCAGGAAATAAGGCTGGAAGAATGAGCAAACTGAAGTCTAGTGTCTAGCAAGGTCCTGACACACCACAGTAGCTTAAGAAATGCTAGTTCACTGCCCCTCCTCCCCCTTCCAAGAAGAATCCCACCTTAAAAAACTATTATTGAGCTAGGGAAACTCAGGAAACCAGAAAACAATTACTTTAAAATATCTACAAGCAAAATCTTAAAGAAAAATATAGCTTGGCCTAAGTTCAACTAGAATTCCTGGAATATATGAAACAAGAATTTAAAGGAGAGTTTAAAATGATTTTACAAATGAAATGAGAGCACTGGAGGAAAGATGGGAAAAGAAATGAAAGTTACAGAAGAAAAAATTGGAAAGGGAATTATCAGCTTGGTGCAAAAGGTACACACTTTCCCCAAAGCAATACACTACTTGAAAATTAGAATGGATGAAATAAGGCTTCATAACAAAATACAAACTATTAAAACAAATTCAAAAGACTAGAAAAAAATAGAAGAAAATGTAAGGTATTTCACTATTATAAAAAAAACCGACTTGGAAAATAGACCAAGGAGAGAGAATTTAAGAATCATTGGATAACCTTTATGACAGTCAAAACCAAAAAAGGGACTCGACATATTATTTTAAGAAATCACAAAAGAAAACTGCTCAAATATCTTATAAGTAGGAACTAAAATGGAAATAAAAAGAGTCTACTGCTCATCTCCTGAAAGAAACCCCAAAATGAAAATTCCCAGGAACATTATAACCAAAATGCAGAATTTCCAGGTCAAAGAAAAAAAAAATACTGCAAGCAGCCAGAAAGAATGAAAGAATTCAAGTACAAAGGTTCCACAGCATCACATAAGATATTTAGCAGTCACTATGATAAAGGAACAGAGAGCCTGTAATACAATTATCCAGAAGGCAAAAAAACATAGGCTAACAATCAAGAATAACTTACCAGCAAAACTGAGTACAATTCTACAGGGGGAAAATTAAACCTTTAATGAAATAGAGGACTTCCAAGCATTCTTGATGAAAAGACAAAAGCTGCACAGAAACTTTGAAATACAAACAAGGGACTCTAGAAAAACATAAAAGGATAAATGTAAGCAAGAAATCACAAAGGACTAAACAAAAATGAAATTATTATAGTCTATGGGAAAATGATAATATATGTCCCTTCAGAGCTTTATTATCATCAGGGATCACAGAGGAGGTGTAATGAGATGAAGGGCTTGAGAGTAGTTTTGTTATGGTTTCATATTCCTGAAGAAAGGAAATAGAGTAGACTAGAAATACACTAAGGGGGAAAAAGGGAGAAGAAAGGAAGGAGAAATGATCTCATTATCATGGTACACAAATGAAAGACTATACAAACATGGAAGACAGAATAAGGAGGGCAGGTGACCCGAATTTCACTTTCATCTAAATGGGGCAAAAAATCGAAGAATACATACATATACAGAGTTGGATGCAGAAATACATTTCATTCAACTGGAAAAAGGAAGAAGAGAAGGTTAGGGAGGACAGATTAAGAGAGAGATAAGTTTAAAAAAAAAAAACAACTCTAAGCAGGGAGGACAAATAGCAAAGAAAGGCTTAAAATGAAAAGAGAAGAGCATATGATTGGGATCCGAGCCAGGGAAAGAGAAGATGAACAGGGGAGCATCAAACTTAGAGCCCTGGTGCCAAGCACACTACTCCTTCACAACTGTCTTTTTTCTTTAGAACGAGGGGGTGAGAAATAAAGAGAGGGAAAAGTATAAGAGAAAAGGATGGAGGGGCAGCTAGGTGGTGCAGTGGATAGAGCATGGCCCTGAAGTCAGGAGGACCTGAGTTCAAATCCAGCCTCAGACCAAACACTTGACATGTACTATCTGTGTGACCTTGGGCAAGTCACTTAACCCCAATTGTCTCACCCCCCCCAAAAAAAAGAAAAAGAAAAAGAAAAAGAAAAGGATGGAGAAGTACACACTAAATCATAACTGTGAACGTGAAGCAGCTTAACTTACCCACAGAATGGGTAGCAAGACAGCAGAAGCAAACAATATGTTGTTTATAAGAAACACATTTGAAAAATAATTGTTCAGATATAATTAAAATCTATTACGCTTCAGCTGAAGTTAAAAAGGCAGAGACAGCAAAATGATCTCAGATGCGGTAACTGCAAAAAATAAATTTAAGAGTTAAGCAGGGAAACTACACTGTGCTCAGTGATCCCATAAACTATGAATAAATATCAATAGTAAACACACATGTACCAAACGGCATAGCACCTAAGTACTTAAAGGAAAAGTTACATGAGTTACAGGGAGAAACAGACAATAAAACTATAACTAAGAAGACCTTTTACATCTAGATAAATTTAACAACAACAACAAAAGAAGTTAAAGACCTGAATAGAGTTTTAGAAAATTTAGATATAACTCTGATAATTACTGAATAGGAACAGAAAGGAATACATATATTAACCCAGATGTTCATGGCAATATTACAAAACTGACCATGTATTAGTGTATAAAAACTTCACAAACAAGTACAGAAAAGCACAAATATTAAACACATGTTAGCTAGAGTGATAAGAAACAAAACTAGAAGAATAAGCATAGGCAAAGAGAAAATAAGATTATCCCTTTTTTGCAGATGTTGAGCCTAGAGAGTCAACTAAAAAATTAACTGCAACAATAACTTCAATAAGTGCAGGATATAAAAATAAACGCACACAAATCATCATTATTTCTGTATATTACCAACAAAGCCCAGCAGGAAGAAGAAGAAAAAGAAATTCCATTTAAAATAACTAACTACAGAATTATAAAATACTTGAAAGTCTGTGCCAAGAAGACACACAAACACAAACTATATGAATATAACTACATAATACCCCAATTATAAATGCTTAAAGGATATGAATAGGCAATTTTAGGAAAAATCAAGCTATTAACAGTCATATGAAAAAATGCTCCAGATCACTAATAATGAGAAAAATGCAAATTAAAGCAACTCTGAGGTTCTGCTTCATATCCATCAGATTGATGAAGTTGACAAAAAAAGGAAAATGATGAATGCTGAAGAAGCTGTGGGAAAACAAGCACACTAATGCATGGATAAACTGATCCAGCCATTCTGGAAAGCAATTTAGAACTATGCCCAAAAATTATTAAACTGTGCACCCTATACCCCAAAGAGAACAAAGAGGAAAAGGACCCATATGTACAAAAATATTTATAGCAATTCTTTTTTATGGTGGCAAAAGAACTAGAAACTAAAGGGGAATCAATTGGGGAATGATGAACAAAGTATGGTATATGAATGTAACAGAAAACTATTGTTTTCCATGAGGAAGGGATAGTTTCAGAGAAACTTAGGAAGACTTGCTTGAACCAATGTAAAGTGAAGCAAGCCGAACCAGGAGAACAATTTTTATAATAATAATACTGTGAAGACAAATAACTTTGAAAGACTTGACTCTGATAAATACAAAGATTAGCCACAATTCCAGAAGACTCATGATGAAACACTCTGCCCATCTTCTAACAGACGTACGGTCTCAGAATACAGACTGAGACATGTTCTTTGGACATGGCCAAAGGGAATTTCGGTCTTTTGACTGTGCATATATATTAAGGTTTAATTTTTTTTTTCCCCAATGGAGGGAGGGGAGAGAGGAAAGAGAGAAGATAGATTTTCAGTAATTAAAAAAAAAATACCTATGTACAAAAAATTTAAAGGAAAAAGAAAACAAAAAATGCAACATTTAAGAAATTTTATTTTTATATACAAACTATAGGCAGTTCAAGGAAAAATAGGCCCCGGCATCAAACATTAAAGTCATGTTTTATCTTTTTAAAAATTATTTTTATTATTTATGATTTTTACTTTTTAGTTTTCAACATTCATTTTTATAAGATTTTGACTTCCAATTTTTTTCTCCCTCCCTCCCCCCTTCCCCAAGACAGCATGCAATCTGATGGAGCTTATACATGTACAATCATATTAACATGTTTATCTTTTTAATGGGATTTAAATCAGTTGGTACTAAAATATTGTGCAAAGTTCTGTAATCTTCTTGATTTCCAAGATGCAATCTTTTTGTTATCTTACTTTTCTTTTTACTGTGCTGTTAAACACAACCTTGGTGATTAAGAAGACTTAAAGATTACTTTCTGCAGTTAATAATTGAAGATTTGAGATCTTTTAGTGGTGGCAAAGTACTGGAAACAAAGTAGGTGCCCATCTATTGGAGAATAACTACAGATTTTGGCATATGAATGTAATGGAATACATTAAGAAATGAAAAGAGAGCTTCAGAGAAACTGGTAAAGACCTGTAATAACTAATGGCAGAAACAAGAAGAACCAGGAGAATACTATAACATCACCATTGTAAAAACGATCAATTCTAAAAGACTTGAAGAGCTGTAACCAACACAGTGATCACTCATGATTCTTGAGAACCAAAGATGAAGCACGCTCACATCTCATGAAAGACTGGAGATAGACTAATGTGCAAAGTGAGACAGGTATTTCTAGACAAGACCAATGTCGACATTAGTTTTACTTGAACATGCTTACTGGTTGCAGGGATTTTGTTCCCCGACTCCTATCCTGGTCCAGGGACTGCAGTGAAGGTGAAAGGGAGAAAAAAATGCTTGATAATTGGGTGTGTGTTGGGGAGTGTCACTGGCATTTCACTGGCAGTCACTCAAATGGCTTAATTTTCTTTCCAAAAAGTCATCTCCAAGAAATCCTAATTCCCCAAGAGTAGTAGGGGCTTATTTCCTTGCAAAGTTGGTAGTAGTTTCTTCATGAAAGAAATTATGAGATTAATTTTGTGACTCTGCTAGGATATTTAAATGATCCAGGAAGATTTCCATGATCCCTCTGCGGGTTAGTTACAATTTTCCACAAGAATTCTCTAATGTGTTTATTGTGTAACAATTAGGCATATGTTAAATGTTTCACATACTCCTCCCAACTAGACTATATATAAATTATTAGAGGGCAGGAAGTAGTATCTAATCTAAACTTGTACCTCTCCAACACAGTGTGATGAGAACGATGGTTTCAAAAAACCTGGAAAGACTTACATGAATTGAGTGAGTGAAGTGAGCAGAACCAGGAAAACATTGCACACAGTAACAGCAATATTGTATGATGAACAACTGTGATTGACTTAGCTATTCTCAGCAATACGATCATCCAAGACAATCCCAAAGGACTCATGATGAAAAATGCTATTCATCTCCAGAGAAAGAACTGATGGAGTCTGAATACAGATGGAAACATACTATTTTTCACTTTCTTTCCCTCTTTCATTTTTTCCTTTTGTTTTGAATTTTATTCCACAAAATAACTAATAAGTAAAAATAATAATACATGATTGTACATGTATCACCTATATCAGATTACTTACTGTCTCAGGGAGGGTGGAGGTGAGGGAGGGAAGGACAGAACTAGAACTCAAAACAAAAAAACCTCATGATAAAAATTTTTTTTACATGTAACTGGGTAAAAAAAATTATTTAAAAAATAAAAGAAAAAAGACAATTAAATTCTGTTTTCATTAATTGACCTGTAAAAGATATCAAATGCTTTCAAAATGAAATTTTCGCCACTGAAAGAGACCATTTGAGTACATCAAATTGTTCCAAAACCAGAAAGCTAGACATAGAATTTTTAATCAATGGAGAGATACAAGGATGCCAAATTGAAGATGCTTTATCTAAGAAAATGTATTCCCATCATTATATCTGGGAAACGTCTGGTAATCTTAACTGAGGAAGCTAAGTTTTTTTTTAAACAACAACAAAATAAAAAAAAAATTCTACTAGTGATGAAATGACTACTGAAAGATATCTTCCTTTTGTAGAAGGTAAGAAAATCTCTCAAAACCATACTTTGTTGAAGAAACTACAAAGAAGTAGACAAATACAAGCTATTACTATATATAACAATCATTTTTACTGAAAAAGACTGCCACACATTACTGTGAAAACACTTGTATTCACATGCATGCATTCAATGATATACTAGCATGAACAGTTGCTTTCGAAAACTTTGTAAGGAAATTAGAGTTCCTGAATTTGATTACTTAGGATTAATGCAAATAACAATATTATTTATTCTGAAAGCTTAACAAATTATTCAAGGCAATTTTAGTTTCATTACCATCTTACATGGTACTCAGCTGAACGATACAACAATAAAAATATCACCTATTGGCCAGATGCCTGGGGCAAGAAAAGTGAGATGCTAATTAAACTGTATTAGCTTTGACAAATATAAAACATGACAGACACAATCATTAAAAAAAGAAGCAGTTGTTTAAAAGAAAGGGCACTAAAACAGAAAAACAAAATTGTCTTCTAATTGATATTTGGAAAGATTGCTATACTTAAAAATCAGAAATACACATACCTCAGTAAAGAGGTAGAACATTTCCCTAGATAGATCCTGCTAGTCACAGCATTAGGAAGACTTGATCTAAATACCACTCTTGACAAAATTGATCTGTGAGCCTGGGCAAGTCAGCTCTCTGCCATTTCGAGTTGTAGAAAAATTTCCTAAGCTATCTCATGCCTAGACAAAAAAAAAAAATGAAACCAAGAGCACAGTACATGTGTGGTGTATACATATAGGAAATGATCATCATACTAAAAATGTTCTAGTAAAGTGTTGATAAACAGTATTTGACAGAACAGCAGCGAGAAGGGGAGTTGACTGGGTAGCTCTTACCTGCTCCTGGAGACTCTGAGCAAGGGCCTGCTGGAGTTCTTCTTCCTCCCTCTCTCGCTCCATGTCATACTGTTGGAGCCAGTCAATGTCCCCCTGAGACCCTTCCGGAGTTTTGTTTTCCTTATTCTCATCAAAATCTTTCGCGATCTCAGTGAAACTGGCAGGACCTGAGGAAGCAAAAGAGCACAATTCAAGATTTCTGGCTTCCCCTACCATTTACCAGCTGAATATTTTCCAGCACAACTAAAGTCCCTTGAACACAGGGCCATCTACTGTCCTTGCCCAACCTCAATGCCACCAGAGTATTTTTACTTAGAAGCTTTTCTTACGGAATGTCACAAATGCTATTAAAACAAAACCAACAGTAGGCAAAACAATTTCATCATTCTGTTCTATCCACATAAAAGGGCTAATTTTAGTTTTCACTTCCAGAAGAGGAAACACATAGGTTGCTTTATATATATTTGTTTACCTGCAGTCTTTCCTTTAGATGGTAAGCTCCCTGAGGGCAGGGACTGTCTTTTGTCTCTTTTTTGTATCCCTAGCATTTAGCACAGTGCCCAGCACAGCAGAAACTTAATAAATATTTACTGAATTGAATGAATGAATGAGTCTTCTGCTCTAACCTTCACTCGATAGGAAATCACAGGCAAGTCCCATGACTTCTTGGAGCCCGAGTTTCCTCGTGAAAAAGAGGGATGATAATAACAGACTTTAGCTTTCTAAGAATGTACTAGGCTATGGATAAGAACTATATTAATGCTACCGATTTATTTTTTAAAAGCAGTTTATCTTTTATTTACGTCAGATTCAAAGTTTGATTATCTGTAATACGGAAATGATTTGCAGGGAAGGCAGTCTTAAGTTATATATGGTACACAAGAGTAAACAGAGAAACGGCCCAAGTCTCGAGAAGACTCGGTTGGCCAGGCTTGCTTCAGGACCTATTTTACTCCATATTAGATAATGAGTTGAACTGTAAGGGCATAGATCTTGCCTAGGAGAGAAAAGAAGCTATAAGAAGCCCCTCCTTTAGTCCTATGTTTTATCCATCAGGTCATACTGCTTTAATATACTCAAAAGAATGTGAATGTATTCCCTTTCTTAGCCAATAAGCTTTTATTTATTTATTTTGGTGAATAAGCATTTATTAAGCACCTACTATATGCCAGGCACTGTGCTAAGCACTGGGGATACAAAGAAAGGCTAAATACAGTTCTTGCCCTCAAGAATCTCACAGTCTAATGCAAAGAGACAAAATGCAAACTACTATGTACAAACAAGATTTATAGAAGATAATGTGGAGATAATCAACAGAGGGACAGCACTAGAATTAAAAGGGCTCAGCAAAGACGACTTGTAGAAGGTGGGATGTTATTTGGGACCTAAAGGAAGCCGAGGGAACTCAGCATGTAGAAAGAATTCCAGGCACGGGGTACAGTTAATGAAAATGTACAGTCATCAGATGGAGAGTCCTATGCAAGATTAAGGAGGCCAGTGTCACAAGATCACAGAGTATGTTGGGGCAGAGAGGAATAAGGTGTAAAAAGCCTAGAAAAGGAAGAGAGGACCAGGTCATGATAGGCTTTGAAGGCCAAATAGAGAATTTCATGTTTGAAGCTGGAGATAATAGAGCCCGTGGACTTTATTTAATGTGGATGTGTGTAGAGGGGTAACATGGTCAGATCTGCACTTTAGGAAGATTAATTTGATGGCTGAGTGGAAGATAGACTAGAGTGGAGAGAGACTTGAGGTAAGATAACTGATGAAAAGGCTCTTGTGATTGTCCAGGTATGGAGTGGGGAGTCCTACACCTGGTGGTAATGTCAAGAGAAGAGAACATATACATAAGATATTATGAAGGAAAACTGACAGGCCTTGAAAAAAGATTGGATACAGGAAGTGAGAGTGAGAAGTCAAGGATGACAACATGGATGGAAACCTTGATGATTGGAAAAATTATACAGCGCTTAATGGTAATGGGAAAATTAAGGAGAAGGTTTTTTGTTGGGGGGGGGAGATAATGAGTTCAATTTTGGACATATTGAGTTTAGGATGCCTAGGATCCAGTTTGAGATATGAAACAGGCATTTGGAGATGTGAGTCTGGAGGTTAGGACAGAGATTAGGGCTGGGGGATCATCTCCACAGAGAGGAAAATTGAATCCGTGAGAATTGATGAGAACATCAAATGAAATAATATAAAAGGAGAAGAGAAGAGGGTCTAGGACAGAGCCCTGTTGTATGAGATAAGAATGGAGGAGAGAATAGTAGAAGGTATCTGGGTGATATGAGATGAGGAAGAGGGAGTTCTCAGCAAATGGCCTCCATTTTTCCAGTAAAACATGAGGGAAGGTTCTAAGCTGAGAGGGTAGAGGCAGGGGGAGCCATGACAGGTTTGAGGAGGGATGAAAAGTTTTGAAAGAGCTGCTATGGAGATACTATTGATAAGACAAGTATAGAAGGACTGCCCAGCAGCACTGAGGGCTGAAATTACATTACATAAATTTTTGGTGGACCCCACCAGCAAGGTTTTGTGATCTTCTCTAGCTTCAACAGTTTGTGATTAGGAGTGAAGCAAGCAGATGATGAGGGAAATTTAAGGCCAACAAGATCTGCAACAGGATAAAGGGACCAAGGACATTCTTTTATAGAAACCTCCATACTTCTGTTCTTCAACAGGAAGATCTCAAAAGGCAGTATTTAAGGTAATCCCATCAAGTAAGTGTACTTTATGTTGAAAGAGGCTAACCAAGATAAATGATGAAAAGATTGTATATTTCCTTGGTGGTAATGTTGAGAATAAAAATTACATACAAAATAATTCTTATATAATTAGAACAGGATACACTAACAAAGAAAATTAAGCTAAGGGCAACAAAACTTTGGACCAAGTTGGAAGAGGGCACAGAATAATCGCTTTTCCTATTTACAAATCTGTAAAAATTTATAGCGTAGCTAGGATTTATGCAAGATTTTATTTCTTATCTTACATGTTTAATTTTCTTTCTACTGATTGTATAAAATTTTAAAATAAAGTAGTTGCTGTCCTCAGCAAGCATGAGGTATTTCCCTTAAGAAAACCAATATACAAAAAAATTTAAATTTAAATAAACAGAAAAATTAAGGGGATAGTTATTCACTTAACAATGATCTGCATCCTTAAATAGAAAGATACTAAAAAACTTGAAAAATATAATTTGATGTACAAAAACTTGATTTTCAGAAATAGCTATTAAATAAAATGAAATATTACGTTTACATCTTTGAAATTCTCAGGCTCTCCCATCTACCTTTATATATATCATAGAAATACATATATATATATACATATATATCACAGAAATACAATGTTCAATAATGAACATGTTTTAATTTCACAAGAATACAGCTGCCAGTTACTAAATTTCTAATGCTTTAAGGCTCTGAGAATATAAAAAAACTACACAAGTATAATTTTTTGCAACTATAAGGACAAATCCACACACACCTTCCACTACTGTTTTTTTGCTTATACTTTATATAAACCTAGAAACACTGTTGAAAAACTACTACAAAAACTTTTATGTAATTCTACTTTGCTTTGCCATCATTATTCAATTAAATGAACATTTATTAAGCACTTAAAGTAATATGCTAGATACCTGGAACACAAAGACAAAAATGAAAAAGTTCCTGTCCCCAAGTTTATATTCTACTTGGCTGGGGGGGTGGGGGAGAGGGGGGCAGCATAATTTTCCTTAAAATAAATGCAAATATGCCAATCTCGATTCCTTTAAAAACTAGAATTTACTGTGATTGTGTTGTGAATGACAAAGACACTTTTTAAAAAATATCATCCAAGTCAGATGCTTCTATCTAAGCTAAATATAGTCCCAAATTTGGTCACTGAAAAATCTATCTAATTGAATTCATTCATCTGAATTATTTTAAAATTAATGTACACTCGTATTTATTATGGTCATAGCTGCATCCTAATGCATCATTTTCTGTACAATAGTCATCATTCCCTATCACTTGGAACCAGATGATACCTGAGATTCTTCTCTCCAGAGCTTTCAATGTTTAACAACATTTGAGATTTAACAAGCAGTCACAGTTACCAGTTTTTCTTTGATTGCATTTCTGACAAAACATTGAAAATGGACTCAATACAAAAGAAACATTTCATATTACTGGCAAAACAATTATTAATTAAAATCTTAATGCTTAAAAATAGTAATCTCATGACAATGGCATGCAGTCATGAAAGCCCTATAATTTGGCTCCTATGGTAGGTTTTTTACTCAGTTTTATCAATATATAAAACCTACATGTTGATCTTACAGTTTGGGGGCTACTGGAAAGATTATAGACAACACCATCTTCACACAGTACAAATTTTCAGCATCCACTGCGCTAGCTAAATACATGTTTTCTAGACAATTAGCTAATGTAGCCATCAAACCCAGAACTTTCCAACAATTAATCCTACAAAGGAGAAGACGATTTTGTGATGCTGCAATCAATAAGGCACATACTACTTCTGTATTTGTTCAGAGGTCAAGTGTTTAAAACCATAGGTATGGAAAATGTTCAAACCTAGTAGGAATGGATTACTTTGTGAACTAATTCAAATTTAAAAGATTTGGAGAATGGGTCAACTAAGATCCATGTGTATTTTAAATGAAGGACTTGGGAGAAATCAAACCTCACTTTGTAGGTGGAAACTTCCGATACTTTCAAGTTTCGTCTGATGTATACATAGTATCATGATCTGCTTTTCATCAAAACTATTCTAAATGTTATGACATCGACTAGATTTGGGGTGAACTGGTAAGAGGAAAGGAACTCTATTGCAAGAAATATCCTGGACATTTCTGAGCTACTAAAATACCAGAAACAAAGTGGAAGCAGTATTGACCCAGATAGTCAAGGTGGCCAGAAGATCATGAAGGACATAAGGTATTATCCAAATAATATTCCATTCCCTCTATCTCATTGAGTCTAAGATCATTCCATTCCATTCATGCCAGAAAAACCAGCATGGACTTGGATAACGCGGCCAGGAACCAGAGAAAGTAGGGCAAACATCAGTAAACAGACTTAAAGCAGGCCATTGCTCTGAATGGGAACCTCAAAAGTCAATCCCAGCTCCAGTAATCAGGTGACTGAAGCTAGACCATAAG